ATTTTATAGTAGAAACATTATTTTTACTTGTTGAACTTTCTTCCATTTCGAGTGAAAGTGTTGGGTGAAGAGATTCGAAGGTCGGTTCCACCAGAAGGTCGGTAACCTGCTTACACACGAACATTCAATAATAATTTCCTGTTCAGTTAGGTTCTCATTTTTTATATTCAAACAAATTGGCGTTTGACTTTATTTAGAATTATACTTTAAATTTTATAGTCTCCATGTTAGGAATAAGAATCAAGTCCATTTTTTTATCTTCTAAAAATCACAAAGTACTAATGCTTTTGCTTTATCTGAATTAGTTCTAAAACCTTTTTGTTTAGTTTAAACTATTTATTTACAATTTTAATATAAGACACATTGTACTTTTAGTTTAACTTCTAAATCTGTAATTCGGGTTTAAGCTAAATATAAGATATGCCGCTTTCAATCTATTTTTAGATTTATATAAAATGTTGAAACATTTTTGTATTATACTAGCGAAAGGATATTATCGGCCAAGCTTTTACAACATTCTATTATCTATGAATGCGTAGGAACTCTGCTGAACCTGCCTTTTAAGAATAATTTATTACAACTGATATGCTAATATTAATAATTTAGTGTGTAATCTTTTAGCAGTTCATGGGTAGTGTGTTATCCTATCTTGGTAACTTCTCATTTTCCGTCTAATAGCGGATTAGTCCTATCCTTGGTGGAGATTAAATAGTTCAATACTTGTTTGTTTAGTCTTATTCCCATATTTGACTATATATCTCTCCATTGCAAATATTTTTTTAGACGAAAGAAGTATCGGGATCTCATTGGTCACCGACTCATACGTTCTGTTTCTAGTAGCGACTCTCCGGATTCTATTTCCGAAGCTAGTCACTCTGTTAGCCCAACAAACGCCATCGGACGTTGCCCAGCTAGCTACTCTGACACCAACGGTCTGCACTCCTGTTCACTCGGCCAGACCGCCATCTGCAGTGATAATTTCAATAGCATGGAGAGTGCTTGTCGGTGGCCTGACGAAGTATCCCTAAGATCAACCCAACCAGACCCCCATTGGTCTTCATCCCATAATCCTATGTTAGCAGGCATTGACCAGAAACTGCCTGGTCCATCAACTGCTCTTGCCTGGCTAGCACAGACTTCCAAACAATCTTCTAGTATCCCACTCCACACAAATCGAAATGAAGGGGTTCATTCGTCGCACCAGATGCCAATTTCGAATAACCTTCAACAACCAAATGTTTCAAAACAATCAATGGCGACTCATTTTCAGGTCGTTAACTCTGCGGCAACTGCTGTTGGTTGGCCAGTCACTACTATGCCGCCTGGACACACTATTCATTCGGTCTCGTCTGCTGGAACACCGACACCTACACAGACTCCGACTCCGACCCCGACTCCCGTCTCGAGCGTCCCTTTTCTCCATCCCCCCTCATCTTCTTCCGTTTCTAATATACCGGCCTGTGGGGCTAACCAGTCTCTTGGTCACCTATCTGCCTCATTTGGAAATAACCTTGGTGGAAGATCTTCCATACCGGGCATGCCTCTATCAACACAGCCTGCTCCGCCAGACTCTCAGAGTCTACTATCATTTTTGCACTTGACACCTCCAGGCGAAGCCGATTTGCTCGCCCAGACTCCCTGGTTTCAAGCGTTGATCCCGCGCGAGATTGCTCTAGAGCTTCTAGCCAAAGAGGAAGTAAGTTTGCCCGTTTTAAAATTAGATTGATTCTACAGAGCACGATGACTATCTTAAACCTGCACTCTTATAAGCATCCTTTTCTCCATAACTTCTATGTCTTATGGCAGACAGGGTCAATTTCTAAACATTTCTTGGTATAGTGTATCTAGGGTAGTATATTTTATCTTATTAACCTATAAAATATCAAATTGGTTTGCATCTTACTGCATCTATAATTCGCTATTTTTGGACATTTTCTATGAATTACTTTGTTAGACTAAGAAAACTTTCTTATACTACTAGAGGGCGCAGGACTAAGCATGTTCCACAAGGTTTCTTTCTTGTTTCAATTTGGTTGTTAAGGCTAGTTAAAGTCAACACTACGGTTTAAGGAGACTGCAGTAAAACCTAGGGCCATACCACATTGTTCCTCATCTCCACGATTACCTATGGTTCCTCAATTCTCATTTGTTCGAGTCTCTTATTTTCCAACTTTATTATTTTTCCTTTTATTTGTATCAAGTTGCTCACGCTAATCAGCTTTTAGATTGTTGTTTGATACTTTATCAAATTTATTGGCCAAACAGGATTGAAAATCAGTGCAAACTGTCTAGCCTAGATTTATGCTGAGAACGGCATTTTTGTCCTTGACAGTCATGCGCTCTGCGTAACTCGGCGGATCATACAGCATACGGGTTTGTGTGTTTGTTGCAAAGCCAAAACTCCATGGTTCAATTAGGAACACAGATAACTAATAGGCAAAATCTTAGCTGCCCTTCTTTGGAAAGAGAGCACTTGAATCAAACTCTAAAAAAATCAAGTCCTATCTTCACTCTATCGTGGATACTTTCTTTTATTGTCTTAACACCCTTTTCGAACTTATTATAGCCGTTTATACTAGATATTCATATTCAACTTTTTTGCAAATTATTTTAAGCTTGTCTCTCCGAAAATATTTTTTGTGCTTATTTGCCCTTTTGTCTACTTAACTATCTTCTTTTCTAGTTTCAGAAGCCCAGTTATTCACCACACATTTTTATTTGTTTTAATCTTTTTTTTGAATGTGCCACTCTTATCTTACTTAGATTGGCAGTTTTCTGGTTCGTGATAGTGCCACTCATCCTGGATGCTGTGCTCTGTCTGTGCGTGTGCCGAACAAAGACAACGCAAATGGCATCACGCATTACCTGATCCAGCGCACAGTTCGGGGTGTTTCGCTCAAGGTAGATAAAATGCTTCCGGTTATTATGTTTATTCCCCTATGTTCCCCTAGCTGACCCACTTGCAGGGTTATTCTCTCGTGTTTTTACGCACATAGAACTAAATTCAAGGGTTTTAAATTTTTGTTTGCTGAACCAAACCGAATTTTCTTCTATATTATCCGTTGGTCTTGCATTATTAGCTTCAGATTTCTCATAAGA